AGCACCTGAAGCACCTGAAGCTCCTCAAGCTCCTGAAGCACCTAAATCTCCTGAAGCACCTGAAGCTCCTGAAGCACCCGTCAGACTGGCTGATACCTCCCCACCATCGTGATGCCCTGTGACATCACTATGCCCTACATTTGCATAATGCAAGTCCAGCACAGGTGACTGGCGAAGCGAGAGCGGAGGCACTGATGACCAATCACAACAGAGTGGGTTAGCTGGCTAATCAGAGCAGACTGGGCTTTGTTGGGAGGGGGGCCTTAAAGAGACAGGAGCTAAAACGAGGGGTTTCAGACAGAGGCTGAGGAGAGGAGCTGCAGCGAAGGACAGTTTGAGGAGAGTGATGTGTTTTCTGAAGGTTAGAGCATGTAAACCTTTTCAAGTCACAACACCAATTCAAATTATGACACTAAATCTGAGCGTAATATGTCTCCTTTTAACGATAGAATGAGTCAAGCACAACCCTGACACACCTTCTTCTTTTAAGGGTGAAATACAGCTTTTCATTCAAACATAACCAGAGCGATGGTAATAATGATTATTTCAGCCGAGCAGGGCAGCGTGATCAGACCCGGGTTCAGTCGATAAAATATAAATGAACATTTCATTTCTTTAGCTGAGCTGCAGCCAGGTTAAAGATTTAGAGGACAGGGATTAAAAAGAGGGAGTTAAAGAAGCAAGGCTCCACATAGTGGATACAACAAACACAAGCCCGTTAGATTTTGGATTAGATGTTGTGGTTTGTTGATTAATTGTGAATTTATTTTTGGCTTTAATTCAACAATGGTGAAATGTAGAAGTGTGATTATTCAGCTTGAATCAGAGGAACTTACGAGAGGCCGGTCTCGATGTGTGTTTACGGCCTCCACGTTAAGATAGAACAGTTCCACTTTGCAACCTAGAAGATATGAAACAGAATATTTCAGTAAAACATGATCAGTCATAAAGTCATGCGTCCTGGAGGTGAAGGACCTACCGTACGCCACAGGAGTGAGTTTGAGCACAGTGTGGAGCGGACACTTCATGTACGGCAGATCTTCTGTTGAAAGATGAAAAGAGCACAAACCACGAGTCAGTATCCGTGTGTTGTGTATTGTGTGTGTGTCTTGTGATTTTTTTTTACCTGCACTTTTGTCCAGGAAGTACGCCAACAAACATCGCATCACGGCCTGGTGGCAGATGACCAACACATTGGCCTGTCTCTCCAACTCCATGATAACCGGCTCCAGTCGCTGAACGAGGTCCTGGTAGGACTACAGAGCCAGGAAAGACGAGTTCAGTTTTTAAAAAAAGTTTTAGACCCCTGATCTGTAAAACACTATGGGATGGAAGGAGTGCGCCACGTTACCTCTCCTCCTGGGTAGCGATAGTGATACTTGTCCTGGTCTCTCAAAGCAAACTCCTCTGGGAAAGTGTTCTCGATGATCTCATAGGTCATCTCCTCACACACACCCTGAGGAAGGATGTTCAAAAAAAGGAGAAAATATTCATTCTAATATCAAACACCAAAGTAAACACAAGCACAAGACAGTATAAAGACAGCCGCAGAATATTTGAATACATTATGATGCTCGTTAAAATAAAGAAAAATCCACCAGTCCGAGAAAAGAAAATGGAAAATGAAAAATCTGAGCAATACGTTATATATATCGTTATATCTTACACAGGCTCGTCTTTATCGAGGCAAAAAAAAGTAAAAACAGATGACAACCATCTTTTTTGTCTGATGCTTGAAAGGAAAGAAAAGGGATGAAATGATTTAGAAACTTCTGTTGGTGCTTTCACAGAGCCCTGGTTTAGATTGACAGAAATAGTATTTTTCTGGGGATGAATAGTATCACACCTGGTTGTACAGGAGCCCCAGAAAATATGATTTTCCTCTAAACCAGCGCTCTGTGCAGTGATTCCTATCATTTCAAAATGAGGTTGGATGTCGGGGTACTGACAGCGTCTATCTCGTTCAGTATCTTCCACTGTTCATAAGGAACCCCGAGCTCCTCCGCTGTCTGGATCGTTCTTCTCAGCTGACTCGTCCAAACCTTCAAATCTGACAGTTTGTGCTCCTCGATGAACTCTCGCAGTGCACGGGCGAACTGGGATACGAGAGAAACACAAATCAACAATCATCGTCTAACTTTATAGGAAAAAGCCAATGGAGAGAATTAAAGTAAATCTCATCCCAGTGATCCACCTCCCTGAGAGTCCTGTGGTTGGGTTTTTCTGTGATATCGTACCTGTTTCCCTCGGGGAGAAAGCTCGGAGTCTCCCCCGATGCGGCCCTCAACGTTGTGGTGGCTCTCTCCGTGGCGGCACAGGTAGATGGAGTGAGAGTGCACGTGGATGTTCATGAGGTAGTAGACGATCTTGCTCTGGATGTAGTCCTGCACCCGGTTCACCAGGAAACGCCGGCCCACGTTTATCACCTTGATAAACGACAGGTCCCTGCAGGCAGTGATGAATCATGGGAGCTGAATTAAACTTTTGTTTTCTGTCGCCATCTACTGTTGATTTTCTGCCAACTGCTATAACACCTTTTAAATTCCCAGGAGTGATCCTGATATTAAATGTAATGACCTATTGCAATAGATGTGTGATCGGTTCTTACTTGTCGTAGTTGTCAGGATCTAACGGTTGATATGTGACCTTGTAGCACTCGATGCGTTTGAGAAAGTCGTCCATTACTCTCTCTCTGTGTCTCTCAGGGTAGTCTGGACTGGACACCTTCACTTCCTGTTACAGGAATGCAACACATTCAGACCATGTGATCAGGCAGCGTGGTTCTGACACAACCCAGCAGACAGTGGGAACATTTATAGATTACGGGTTGAACTGACATACCAGAATATTAGCAGCTATCACCTCAGGGTCGTCACACACTGACTCCACGAAGAACACCTGTTGGACAGGGAGCAGGTCTGAGGTCAGCGTACGCTAACATGAACACACACACTCACAACAAACACTGAATCAACACAAAATCATCCAGTTTCTAAATCAGACACTGAAGGGGCCCTGTGGAGAAGTCTGATCACGTTCATTATTTCTCACAGAAAAGCATTGTGTGCATTTTTAACACATCATCTTGTGTTCACCACTTGTGGTCACACTGGACACTGGGAATGTTGAAATGTCAATTTCAATTATGTCCAATTTCCAATGAAGAGCACAAAGAAAAACTAACAGCAAGATATAATAAAAACACTTCCAGTCTTACCTTGAATGCATATTCCTTCACAAAGGCTTGAATGAGGTCTCTACGTTCTCTTGTTGTGTTTGTTGCATCAAAAACCTGACAAACAAAAACATTTCTTCATGTATAACTTGGACGTCAGGATTAAATCTGTCCTAATGCCAGATGTGCTGCTGTTCTAGACATTTCAGAGCTTTTGGAAATGAGCCGACAGAGACAGATGGACGGAGCGGCACAGATTCCTCACCGCGATCTGACCTCCCTCCTCCGTCAGGTAAGCCCTCACATCCCGCAGAGCTACCAGAGCACACTGTCTGCAAGAGAGAGAGAGAGAGAGAGAGAGAGAGAGAGAGGGAGGAGGGGGATTCAGTATCATCTCATTCACCAAAACTGACAATGCACTGCTAGTATTATACTTCAGGCATCATGTATTCTTGGTGCGATTTCTGTATTTCTTTATTCGATAATCGATGCATGTGTTCCTTGTGGTTTTGCTGTGTGAAGGATATGTGTATGTCATCAGTGTTCATGTGCCAGTGATGATACATTCTTTCACAAACATGGAGAGCATATGGATGTCACTACATTGTCCTAAATCGAGTTCAACCCTATGTGTGAATGTACTTTCTTCCTGAGAGTTAGACGAGGACAGCTCAATTAAACAGCAGGGTTATTAGCTTAAGATGTAAAAGGCATCATGACAAATTGTTAAAGTAAGATAAGACAATAAAAAAGACAAAATGAGCACATGAACATAAATCAGTGTGACCCATACTGCAGCCAGCCACCAGGTGGCGACCAAGATAATTTGGCTTCACTTCTGGGAAGCCATCATGTCATATTTAGATCTATGGTAAAAACCAGGGTGACATCTTCCACCTCTTCTACACTTATTCCCGGGCTAAAGTAACCAGCTGCTGTCTGAGGCTTCATATTCTGCAGACGCTAGTTTATAAATCTATTTAATCTCACTTTCAGCCAGTAAACATATGCCTGAGACCCCGAAGATCAAAAAACAAGGACAAACTCTGAGAATGATTTACAGCAGCAGTTTGATTCAGGTTTAATGTCGGTGCGACAGCCAGCAGGGACGGTGTCAGCTTCAGAGTGACAGCAGCAGCCTGTTTGATATGTAGGTCAGAATTCAGCAGTGGGATGCTGTCAGGAGTCTGTCACGTTTCTTCATGACCGCTGTGCAACACAAACCCCGTTTCAACCAGATACGACCATGAGGGGAGAGAGGCAGCTATATTTTGTGTTCCAGTCTTTGGGTAAATGAGCAGTGACTCTTAATTTATCTGCGTACAGTCAAATAATATGAAGAATATTTATGTATGTGCAGCATAAGAACACCTAGCTGATCCCGGCTCAGTATCGACTACCTGCCTTTTAAGAAAAGCGCTTAGTCATTGATGCAGCAGGGGAGGCTGCAGAACACCAAACAGACTCGTGTTTCAGACAGTAGAGATGCTCCAGCTTCTCTAACTGTAAGACACATAATGCTAATGTGCCATTCAACCACTGGACGTGAACACGGGATGAACACACTGGTAGAAACTTACTTCCTTATTTTCATGGCTTCCTGGTTGTCGTGGCGGAAGAAGTCGTAGGACTTGTACGCTCTGACGGCCTCCCTGCGGTACACGCCCAAGTTAAACACTGCCAATGAACAAACGACATGAACACTAAAGTCACTGGTGAGTTCATTTCTCTTTGGAAATTCCAACACAATTAAAACGTTCCCTTGTAAAATGCCTTGTATAAAATGTCCTATTTTGAAAAGTTAAAGAAAACAGAAAAACAAATCCTGAATCTTCCCTTGAACTCTTTCTTGGGCCGTGTCCCATCATTCCACCAAGTGGGAATCAGTTTAGCAGTTTTTGCATAAACCTGCTGACAAACAAACCAATGGAATGTTCCCTCCTTGGCGGAGGCAACAACAAATTACCGTCAGGTTGTTTGAATGATCTTCAAGAGGAACTATTGCTCCTTGTGTTTCCACCGCAGGGATCAGGGTCTAAATAAAGTTCTGGGTAAATCTTTTCACCTTGATTGGTTGATTACTCCGGTACTTTATTTCAGCCACCTCTTTTTTAAAAACCTGTAGCAGCGTATACAGTTCACTCAGACTTGAACTATCCATTTAAAAAATAAAAAAGGAAGTATAGTGATTTAACTGCAATGTTCCAAAAAGCTGAACATGGGATCCATGCTCCTGAAAACAGGAAGGTCAAATCCTCTCTGACTTGAACTAAAGCACTGAACTTGAAAAAAAATGTAATGTTGGCACACTGAGAATAAAAACAGGCTATTGTCTTGAGTGGTGTTTGACCTTTGGTTGGGACTCCGATCCAGTTGAGGTACCGTGTGAGTTTCTTTGACATGTACGTCTTCCCTCTCGCAGGCAGGCCGATCATGACGATCATGGTCGGGGAGTTCGTCATATAGGAGGCCCAAGCTGCACAGGAGACATATAGATTATACTGTATTATATAATGTCATGCACATTTATTACAATACTCCAAAGTAAAACAAAACAAAGCTTTATAATGAGGAGAAATTAAGTAAAAAAAGATGCAAATTTACTGCATTGCTGGAAATGAGGTTCCCTCATCGGGAAGTAAAGTTAGTAAATCCTTCTATTCACCCGTCCACTTAGGCTGGACAAAAATAATTGTGTGTCTCTCTGGACAGAAAAGGCCATTTCCTTAAGGGCGACAGAAGGAGGAGTATTTTTATATCACTTGTTATAATCTAGACTCGTTTCTCTCCCACTGAGATTCACTCTGCTGCAGATTCTAACCGGAGGAGCTTGAGAGACAATGAGTGAACTGAGTGCGAAGGGAACAACACAGGGTCTTAAATTACGTGTGCACCTGTATGAAGCAGTCACGCAGAAGAAGTGGATCTAAAGTAGGAGTTCACTCACAGCACTTCTTCTCTCTCAGGTCTGATTTCTTGGCCTCTGCAGAGCCGTTGTCCCTCTGAGAGCTGGACATGATGTTGTCTCAGTGAGCTGCTCCTGCAGAAACACCAGGGAATCGAACATGTGAGGTGAGAACATGAGGATCTCAGTGACACACGTGTGCTGTGTCTGACTTCGTGTTTCCCTGGCAACCCTCACTGACCCACTGAAGAGACGCTGCCACATCATCTGATGCAGGAAAGAAAAAAAAATCTACTTGGCTGAAAGCTTCGGATTCACAAAGACACATACGAAGAATGTGCGTCAGAAATGCAGCTGCCACACAATCCGCTCAGACACGTTTCTATTCGCATCACATTCAGGAGTTGTCGTGATTTATTTCTACCTGGTCGCTGGGTGAATATGACGAGCACAGCTGGACGGAAGCACATCTGGAGACGAGGGGGATCTGTGGATCTGCCGCACCGGGAGTGTGCGCGCACCGCAGCGGGCGGAGGAGCCTCTCCGGTCGGTCTGTCCTTGTCCTCCACCTCGGCTCCGTCAGCTGGAGCTGGAGGTGTGTCTCCGTACGTCACTTGTTTCTGCTCCGCCGTAATGTTCGTAATAGACGCACAGCAGGATGCGTTAATGGCGTCGATTATACCATATTTTGCAGCCTTTTCAAACTCAATTCATATTTTATTTGAACAGCTTTATACTTAAGGTACTTTAAATAATAATAATTTTAATCCCCGTCATTTTTTAATTTTATTTATTCATTTTTATCTCCATTTTACTGCATTTGTCCCAAATAGTTTTTAATAGCTTTTTTTCTGTCTGTCTTATCATCCTTTTGTTAATCAATCAAAATAAATAGTTTGATTTATTGATACTCACATTCAGACGTTCTAGTCTTCAACTAGATATCTAGAATTCAGAAGCTTTTGGCAGAGAGCCGAGTCCTTTTTTACTTTGTTTGTTGACCATGGAGAAACTGTGTTCTTCTGTACATAGCCGGACATATAATTAAGGCGGTTCTCACATAAAAAGCATTGTGGACTAACATTATCAGCCATTCCTGGGGGCCCGCCCTCTCAACTCAGGGCCCCAAGTATAATTGCCTGGAGCACAAACAATGAAAACCTGACGCCAGCTTCCATGGATGAAAAACATTTTATTCAATTCTAGAAAAGAATTCCTTAACCCTCTTTGCATAGTTATTTTGTTCAACAATGGTCCTCAATACAAAAGGCAGATAGTGGTCACAGAGTCTGACTTACAGGTACCAGTACAAGTGTACGCGCTAAAACAGAAACCCCAAATAAATAAACTCTACTTACAGTCACAATATTTTCTCAAGTACAAAAGGTTAAAATCAAAGCTGATTCCAATGAAAGTTTAGAAAGCACACAGCTTGTTTTAAAGTTAATTATATTATTATACTGATGAATAAACTATCCACATTAATATCTGTAATTAATTATTTACATCCCACACATCTGTACAAAACATACTTGGAAATTTAGATGCAACAGAAGCCTGAAGTGACGCCAGAGCTCGACTGAGGAACATTCAAGGGTCAAAGGTCAGGCAGCCGGTTAGTGGACTGGCCGGGTGAAACACCAGGTTAGGAGCCAGTGACTGTGTGAGCGATTGTCAGAGCGTCTCAGGCTTGTGAACTGATGAAACTCACACACATCGGAGTTGGAAGGCACAGACGATGAATATATTGTCAGTAGGTTTGCACGCTTTTCGTAGCTGAGACTGTCTGAGCAGCAGACAAAGAGCTCTGGTCTCCAGTGTCCCACTTTTAGTGGTTTGCCGTTTTCACATTAAGGCTTGATTTTCCACAGCTGTAAATGAGACAAACACTTTTGTTAGAGAAAGAAATTTCACTTCAGAGACATTATACAGAACAAGTCACTCCAACAGCAAATCACCCCACAAATGTGCATTAACAAGACAAGTGTCATGAAAAATGTATAGATTGAAGCAACTGAGGCCAAGATATCATAAGTCTGAGTCTCCAATCAATACTCATGTTCTTAGTCTGAGGTAACCGTTTTCTTCATAGTGTGAAAAGTGAACATTCATCCTGTTTGTTGTGTCATTTCGAACCGTTATCACAGAAACCAAGGAGCTGCTGTTTTAACATTTAAAGGAAAGAGCCCACTCACTCTGATGTTGAAGCCGAGCAGGTCGCTGACCACAGCAGACACAGCGGACAGGATGACCACTCTGGTGATGTTATAGATCAGAGGGTTCACTGTCAGACCCAGAAGTCTGAACGGAGTATCCAGCTCCTGATGAAGAGAAACAGGGATAACATTAATCTGAGGTCACAAACAGAACAGGAAAAGAAAAAAGAACCAAAGGTCCCTAGTGGGGCTCAAACTGAGAACAAACCATTTTCTATCAGGCATCAACATGATTCTTACTTTTTGAGAAATCTTATTTGTCATATTGTATTGTCATTTTCTCGCTTTTCAAAATTAACTACTTAGTTGTCAAGGAAAACTAGAAACGCAACTTTTTGAAAAGTTTTGCTAACTTTACTGCGCTTGTTGTAAGTTCATCTGTGGTGTTCAGTCAAGTATAAAGATCAGACATTTTTTTGAATGGGACAATTAAATATTCAACTGTATATTCAGGCTGCTAAACTGAACAAACTCACCTTCATCAGCTTTGTAGCTAGTTTCAAAACATTGTTCACGATATTGAGCTCTTCTTTCTTGTTGGGCTTTTTCTCCATCTTGAGATACAAGTTGATCTGAAACCAAGAAGAGTTTTATATTCAATCTGTAAACTGTTTGAGATAGATCTGGTAATTTATTTAACCCGGCAGTGACCCACACTTTGATATTAATAATGAATCAGCTGACTCATCAGAGTGTCACTCATAAAGCCGATATAACCTGTAACTCCATATGTTCTGCAGCCTCGGCTCTTTACCTGCTCGGTGAGCAGCACTGAGGAGTTGCTGTATTTGCAATTGGTCTCTGAGCCCAGCGTGGCCAGCCGCAGCAGAAAGAGGATGAGGGAGGAGCCCCACACCATCAGCTCCCAGTTTGTCTGAGACTCCAGGAAAGTTTTGTGGCTGTGCAGGAGCTGAACAAGAACAAAAGCACAGTTTTTATTTGTAGTCCCCAGAACGTTGTAATAGGTTTGCAGAGCATATCAAATATTTTGTATCAGAACTTTGTCCCAGTGTGACTCACACTAGTTGCACAGTATTATTAAATGTGTGCATACATATCCACTGACCTGGGCACAAATGATGAATGAAATTGAAAGCGCTAAGAGGAAGATGGTGGAGACGATGACATCAACAGAGCGCTGCGGCCCTCGTCTCTGCAAAGAACAAGTAACTCAGTGATGCACCATTAGAAACAAAGGCCAGTCAGTGCACTCTAGTGGTAAAACAATTAAGAGTCACAAAAGAATAGGAGCAAACAAACCCTGAGAAAAGAGCGAAGAGACAACCACATCTTTATGTTCTGGACTTTCTTCAGCCTGAAATGAGGAATCTCAGATTTCTTGGCCTTGCGAGCTGACGTGAGGTGGCTGAAGTACTTGGCAAATACAAGTCTCTGTTGGGAAAAATGTGGAAAAACAAGTGAGCACAAGACATAATTTCACAGTCCTGCAAAAGAGGAAAGTAGGCAATCGTGTCGTCTGGAGACACTACCTACTAAATGCCACTAGAGGGAAGCATGAGCACATAAAAAGACGGATCAACGTCATGTGTTTGACACAATCTGGACTAAATGCAATAATTTAAAAAGGTACATTCAGCCACAACAAAACAAATGATCAGGGATTAGCCTTTAGAATCCTGAGGCTTTTAACAGATTCATATACTCTTATATTGATATTTTTAAAGTAAGCAGGTAGTTTGTTTAATCACAGAAACATATCTGTCTATGAATTGACAGTATTAAAGGATGTTGTCGCTCCTTCTTGTGTCTGATTATTTGGAACTGCAGCTCTCATGATACTTAAGGATAATGTAAGTAGAAAGTATAACGTTACCATGGAGTCTGTATTTCTTAACAGGGGAGTGACAGAATAGATATCACAATGTCCTGTTTGCGCTATTGAATGTAACCATGGAGACAGACTATAAAGACTATGACACTATTGAAAACCTCCAAGTGTGAGGACTTATATGACTCTTGAGGTGAAGAGCTTGTCGTCAGGTTGAATGAGTTCAAATTGAAGTTGTTTAAATGAAGAGCAGTATAATGATAAGGTGGTAAAACCTCAGATTACTATTGTTACAGCTTTATTACAAAATCCCCAGAGGATGGACAGAACTGGAAATACAGCACAGTGGATTTCTTCATACAAAACAAAGTGACCACTCACCTGTTTGTACGTTCTCTCCGCCACACACATCATGAAGAAGAACAGTCCGGTGAGGCAGACTCTTTGCACTGTCGTGATGAAGAAAAAGGCGTAGGCCTGGACATCAGGCTGCCCGACCACCGTTTGTGCCAGTTCTGTCAGAGACAGGGAGCCTAGCCTCGACATGTCCAGATGCTGAGCCAAGTGGAAGGCGACTGGAAGCAGTGCCAGTGTGGCAGTCATGAGGCCACCGAAGACAAGGTAACCCATACCCTGCTCCACCAACTTCACCTGTTTACAGGAGACAGAAACAGGAGACATGTTGTTATGCAACAGTTCTTTTCTGATAAAAATCTGCAGCAACTAAATTTTTCTTGACCTTCCACTGTTGTTTTAAATCGAAAAAAAGAGGAAAATGTTTACCCGTGTGAGGATGATCCCACTGATCTCCAACACAGACATGTCTGCTTTCTTACACTCGCCCTGCTCCCATATTATGGCACTGACACGGTCCTTGGATGGATGACAGGCCTGAAGCCAGGACATCTGGCTCTAAAACAAGAACACAACAGATAACATCCTGTTAACAGACGGTTCCTAACGAGCAAAACTATGAATGTATGTACAATATGTAGTGTATGTATGCACGCATGTATGTACTTTATGTACAGGGTGAGTTTTTTTACTTGAGCTAAATTGAGTTGCAAAAAATGTTTGTATGTATGTATCTTGGATTTGGCAGGAAAAATTATTACTTGATTAATCAATTGAAAGATATTGACTTACTCCGGTGATTCCCTGCTGCAGGCTGTCATCGTCACTGCTCAGAGTGGTGGTTTGTGGGAGTGCCAGGCCGGCGTTGTACCTCCCGTTCCCCTCACTGTCACTGCTACCTGTGGTGACAGAGTCAGGGTCTTGGAGAAGCTCCTCCCACAAAGTGTCGTCGGTGTCAGAGGCAGGACGAAGGCCCACGCTCGGCCTGAGACGCTCAACCTCTCGAGGCTTCGCCTTAATGGAGGCTCCAGTCCCTTCCTGCTACATAATGTTTTTTTCAATTGTTTTATATAATAAAAAAAACATGAATTTAAGTCTTGTTGTACATCGAACATAAAACTTGCACCTGTACCTCGACTTTCATTGACATACAGTGAAAGGATAAGTTTACCTGAGGTCTGGGGTTGGACTTCAGCTTTCTCTTTCTAACAGAAGACACAAGTG